TTGTTAATACCTCGGGTTATATTATATGGTATGTTTTTGGGCTTCGAAGAATCCAATTTAGTGGACATGGACCGACCCGATGGAACTTTTTGGGTCACCGAATTCTTTCGTTAAGGGATTTGAATGTTAACCTAAACTTATTCACATGCATACGGGATAAACCTATTATCTGTAATCAGAGAGGCAAGGGAAAGAGGAGAATTTTTGAATATTAACCTAAACTCATCTGCGTTGCATTGCATCGATCATCGTTGAGACTTGAGACAATGACGAAGTTGTCTTCTCTTCCAAGGGATTTAGACAATGAGACAATGAGATCACTCGCTCATGTTCGTTTTCGTTTATAGGTGTGAGTTTCTTCATTGACGAAGACAAGAAAGTCGCTGTGATTTTTGACCAAAAGATAATCAATCGTGCCAGCACTCGCAATGTAGCTTATATCGTTGGGAAGGATGGATCCTTAGAGGCTTAGAAGAAATTAATCTCGGAGAATCTGCAAACAAACATTTGTATCCACTTGTATGCTCTTATATTGTTCCAAGTTTAGTGCAACTTAATTAAGTCTATATTACCATAACTATAATATATTTCTTGTCTTGTCGTGTTATTTAATTTGAACGAAGGTTATTATTAGTCAACATATATAAATTAATTTGGTCTTCTTGTTTATCATAATTCGTGACTTGGTTTCACTGCCTTGGGTGTTGCTTGCTTAGTTTCCTTGTTCTGTACTGTAGAAGATTCATGGCAAAAGTTATGTACTTTATTGTATTAGCAACTAGCAAGCATGCTTGTATTTGAGTTTTTATTATCTACGTTCACATTCTCACTATAATCTTGCTTGTGTTATGGGAAAAAAAATTGGAAGATTGCTAGTTAATATTTAGAATTTTGTGGAAAAACAAGGAATAAAAGAAAGAGTTCTTTTGACACCCCCCAAAAAAAAAGAAAGAGTGCTTGGCTATATAGTAAATAAAAAGTAAATGAGGAATGGATAAAAATGCCCACACGCAGGATCGAACTACGGACCTTCAGTTTACAAGACTGACGCTCTACCACTGAGCTATACGGGCCATTTTAAACAGTTTATAGTAGACAAATTTATATCTACTGCAAACACAGAACGTACATGTATGACCATTTTCAGCATGATTACACCCAAACACATTTTGATAAAGTGAAACTAAGCAAAACAATTTGGAAGTGAAGGAAGATAACATTCATATAATAGGAAGAATTCACAAGAGTAATGCCATGAAATGTATGATATTACACATAGCATTTACATTACAAGAACATTCAAACAAGTATTACGCAGAAAAGACTCAAGATTTCTTCTTTTGTTGTAGAGTTTTAAGACCACCATGGTGCCTCACCAGTCCTGAAGTCAGTTTCAACCCATGGAACAAAAATAACCTTCCCACCATCATCGATATCCGCGTGAGCCAAGGCTAGCGACTGTTCAATCGAATTAAGTTTTACATTAGCGAGTTCACTTTTCAGAGTTTACATTAGAGTGTGTAGTGTATTTGACTTACCAATGGCGCTGGACCTCTAACGACTCTGCCTTGGGCGTTGTATTGGGATCCATGGCAAGGACATAGAAACTTGTTCTCAGCTGTGTTCCATGGCACAACACATCCAAGATGAGTGCACACTGCGTTAATACCGTATGTCGCTAGAGTCTTGTCGTTCTCCACAACTAGGTAAGTCGGATCTCCCTATACCATAAAAATCCCACACCATTGAATCGCAAGAACCTTTATTGACATCTTTAAGAACTTCTTCATCTTCTTATAGTATTTTTTACCTTTAATCCTTGGGTCAAGGTTCGATCACCGGGACCATGAGTCTTAAGCCATTCAGCTGCAACTACATCATTTCCAAGTGCATCTTTGGCTGGAGTACCACCACCGTCACCTCCGGATCTGCATATT